TTAGTTCCTTAAATGAATCACCAAAAGTTACTGTGCTTGTTAAATGACTTTCTGAATGTGTTGATAATATTTTCTCTTAAAAAGTGATCCATGCTTGTAGGAATTAGAGATGGCTGAAGGGGTTGGGAAGAGGAGGAAGGGAAGAATGAATAGATGGAGCATTAGGGCAGTGAAAATATACTGTATGATCTATATTATAAAAAGCCAGTGGCCGTAACGCAGTAACGACCAAACAACCAGTCACCAGGAGGTGCATTGATGGATCTCACAGTGTGGCGGAGTCTGGGGTCCCATGGTGGCGTGGTGGGGTCTGGGGTCCTGCGGCAGCACGGCGGGTCTGGTTCTTATGTGATTTCGCGTGCTGGGCCTCTAGTATTATAATGATGGATACATGTCATGCATTTGTTAAAATCTTAGAATGTAAAACACAAAGTGAGCCCTAATGTAAACTATGGACTTTAGTTAATATGTATCAGTATTGTCCATCAATTGTAGTAAACATGCCAGACCAATGCAAGATGTTAATAATAGGGAAATGTGCAAGAGAGAGAGAAGGGGTATATGGGAACTCTGTACAGTCTGGTTAATATTTCTGTAAACCGAAAACTGCTCTAAAAATAGTCTGTTAATTAAAAAGTATAATTCCTAATTTTTTTAAAAAGAGAGATGGCTGAAGAACTCCTGAACTGACTTTTTTTAAGTGAAATTCAGAGCTGCTGCATGACTTTAGAAGCTCAAGGGAAGTTATGATGCTTAATGTCTACAATTTTGCAAGCATAACTGTATGTCTAAATTCCAGCATTCCCTCTCCTGCTCTAAGATTCCCCTAGTTCATAGGAATCAGTGCCCCTCAGCTCCCTGCATCTGGGTGTCACAGTCTTCTCTGTGTTACTCTTCCAAATGCATTCTCTCATGCCCTTCCTAGGAGGTATTTATTAAGCACTCCAAAGTATGGAAAGAGGTAGGGTTTCTGCAACAATCAAATAAGTTGAGGATTATCAGAGTAAACAAAAAGGGAAGACTGTTTTTGATGAAGACATTCTATTTACTAAAAGTAAAACCTCTAGCTCTGTAAAAAGTCCTAAGGAGACAGGGACAAGGATGGAAGAGGAGAATTTTTCTTAATTCCCAGTCACCTCACTTTGAATCATCTTCACTTTTAATCAGGTCTCTGACTCACTGTGCTTATTTCTCTGTCCACCTATTCTTTTGTATTTTTTTATTTATTGAATTAATTGGGGTGACACTGATTAATAAAATTATGTTTCAGGTGTACAATTCTATAATACATCATCTGTACACTGTATTGTGTGTTCACCACTCCGAGTCAAGTCTCCTTCTGTCACCATTTGTCGCCCCTTTACCCTCTTCTACCTCCCCCGACTCCTCTTTCCCTCAGATAATCACCATACTGTTGTCTGTGTCTATGAGGTGTGTTGTTGTTGTTGTTTTGCTTAATCCCTTCACCTTTTTTACCAAGTCCCTCAAACCCTTCCCCTCTATCAGTTGCCAGACTGTTCGCTGTATCTATGAGTCTGTTTCTATTTTGTTATTTTATTGTGTTCATTAGATTCCACATATAAGTGAAATCATATGGGACTTGTCTTTCTCTTACTGGTTTATTTCTCTTCGAATAATTCTCTCCAACTCCATCTATGCTGTCATAAAAGGTAAGATTTTTTTTTTTACAGCTGTCCACCTATTTTTATTAAAATTTTAAAAAAATTTATTTTAAAGAGCCCGGCCGGTGTGGCTCAGTGATTGAGCATCAACCCATGAATCAGGAGATCAAAGTTCACCCCAGTCAGGGCACATGCCCTGGGCTTGCGGGTGTGATTCCCAGTAAGGGGTGTGCAGGAGGCAGTCAATTGATGATTCTCTCTCATCATTGATGTTTCTATCTCTCTCCCTCTCCCTGAAATAAATAAAAACATATATTTTTTAAAATTTTCTTTTAGAGGAAGGGGGGAGAGAGAGAGAGAAAGAAACATCAATTTGTTGTTCCACTTATTTATGCATTCATTGGCTGCTGCTTGTATGTGTCCTGATCAAAGATCGGACCTGTAACCTTTGTGTATTGGAACGATGCTTTAACCACAGAATTTATCCTTTTCCATGAGGAAACAGAATCTAATAATTTTCACTTTAATGAGGACTCAGTTTCTCTAGAGACTTCATATGGGCAGTTGCTTATAAAACTCATGAATGGCTCTAACTGGTTTGGCTCAGTGGATAGAGCATCAGCCTGCAGACTGAAGGGTCCCAGGTTCAATTCTAGTCAAGGGCATGTACCTTGGTTGAAAGCTCAGAGGCAACAAATCAATGTTTCTCACGTCAATGTTTCTCTGTCTCTCCCCCTCCCTTCCACTCTCTCTAAACACACACATAAAAAACAACAACATGAATGCATTCACCTCGGCAATAATGGTGGTTTATAATTTCCACATTTTGCCACATCTCACCAACTATTATTTTTATAACAACGACTATGCAAGAATAATAGCAACACTTTTTCCTCCAGGTGATTAGACAAATGCATGTTTTCTAACAAAAATAAACCTTCCTCCTTACTGATCACCCACATATTTCCTCATTATGAGCAGCTAGTCCCCTCCAACTAATGATAAACCTTTTGGGTTGACCCAGAAGTTGTTTCCAAAGACGGAAATAACATTTCCAACTGGTTGGTGCCTTCACATTCACTGTGCTGTTTGATGGCCCTTAGTGAGTTTATGTGTGTTGAAATATTTCATCTTCCCAGGGATTAAAGGGGATTAAGATGTTAAACTTCTTTTTCAAACAAGTCAATTTGGAAATATTGGGAGAGAGGGGAGAAATGATATAAGTTGCCTTTTTCAGTGTTAAAAGATGCCATCTCTCTGCTTATCTTAATAGAGTAATAATTTAAGCCAAATTATGTGATTTGTTTGTTGACTGGGTCAGGCTTAAAATATTCAGGGAAATTATATATTTTTATACCAGTTAGCTACTAAAGAATTATAGATTAAATGCTTGCCATTCTGCCTAGCCGATGTGGCTTAATGGTTGAGCGTTGACCCATGCACCAAGAGATCGCTGGTTTGATTCCCGGTTAGGGTACATGCCTGGGTTGCAGGCTCGATTCCCAGTGTGGGGTATGCAGGAGGCAGCCAATTGATGTTTCTCTCTCATTGATCTTTCTCATTGATCTTTCTGTCTCCCTCTTTCTTCCCCTCTCTTTTCAAAATCAATAAAAACTATTTTTTAAAAATGCTTATAAAACTCATGGTACTATGAGTTAAGTAAAAATATATATCATGTTGAAAATATGGACACAAATATGGTTCTAAAATATGTCAATGATAATGCTAGTAAGCAGATGAAGGTATAATTGGCCTGATAAACATATTCAGAGCTTATAGAATATATATATATATATTTCTCTTTTTCTGGCTCTTAGAGCCATGTTAAAACAAAAAATTTCCAAAGTGGGAGCCCTTTACTAAAGCCACTTTCATCCACACCAAAACTTCAGGTGTTTGACTGACTCATACAATTTTCCTTGAAAGGAAAGTCGACTCATCCTACCCAGCCAAGGGTGGACAAAACTTTGGTTCTAAGTCCTCATCAGTTTTCAGTTAATCCAGCCAGAGACGGGCCACTGAGCATCCTCAGTCTGATGGCAAAGCTGTGACATCAGACTTACCTATAAGACAGGATGTCAACTCTGAACTTCAGATTCATCTTGGGAATCTGAAACAGTTCATTTTAGTAAAATGCTTTAAAATCCTTAGTCCAAGATTGGTGTTTGTCTAAAACATTTACTTTGAGTAAGTTTTAAGGACTGGGATATGAAGAACCTTAAATATACAAGAAAGAATGCTTCTCCCAACCAACGTTTGATCGTTCTTTTGTTTTGTTGTGGGTTTTTTTTAAAAAACATATTTTTATTGATTTCAGAGAGGAAGGAAGAGGGAGAGAGAGACAGAAACATCAATGATGAGAGAGAATCATTGATCGGCTGCCTTCTGCACACCCCACACTGGAGATTGAGCTCGCAACCTGTACATATGCCCTGACCGGGAATCCAATCGTGATCTCCTGGTTCATAAGTCGATGCTCAAACACTGACCCACACTGGCCAGGCAACATTTGGTCATTTTGAAGAGGATTGAAGTCTTTAAAACCACCCTTACTGTTCAGGATCACTGGGGTAACATGACATGGCCCACTTCTTTTTCCCCACCTGCCCCTAGGAAGCACATTTTCTGCTTCCCAGCACCCAAGTTACAATTCTGTGTAATGAGATGGAAGTAGAAATATCTGCGGTCTTTCAGGGAAAGCTTTTACTTTCCTGGTAAAAGGGAAAGATGACCTAGTGCTGCTTCTTTGTCCCAGTTCAACCTTGAGTGATGTGGCCTGATGCCTGGAGATGCAGCAGTGAGTGCTCAGACTGTGGGCAAGAAGGCCACGTACCATGGTTGGTGGAACAGAGCACTACAGATTCACTGCACCAGCCCTGGACTGCTTACCTCCGGACTTCCTACACCAGAAAGAAGCCCTTTCTTGTTTAAGTAGATTCAGGTTTCTGTTACTTATGGACAGACATCCCTAACTGATATAGAATTGGTATCTGAAAATTAGTGACTCCCAGGATCATTTTTAAATTTAATACAGGACTTAGGAAGAATTGTTTAATTGTATTTTAACAGATGTTTAGTACAGTCTTAAATATGGTGCCTGCTGGCCAGCTCAGGGGGGGTGGGGGTGGGGGTGGGAGCAGATTCAGAAAAGGAACAATGGCCTCTTGCCAGCATGTTTGGGAGGAAGCTGTCCTGACTTCCCTACCCCACCCCTCCACTTGCCTCCCCCAGGTCTTGGCCCCGATGCTGGACAATTCAGTTCCTCCCATTTGTCTCTGGTGCCTTTCAAGCTGCTGCCCCAGCACTGGAGCTCAGGATTGAATCTGACTGCCGGCAGAGGATCCAATAGCAGATACCAGGACCGGCAAGAAGATACGTGCCTAAGTCTGTAAATGCAGAGTCTCCACCCCACCCCATCCACCAACACCGACACTGCTGTGAGCACGACACACTTCTATGCAAAGCCACTGAAATCTGCCAGTTGTTTCTTCCAGCAACTTCCCTCTCTGATACAGGTGGGCAGCATGCCAAACACTCACACTTAGAGCATCCCTCATTGAAGGTGAACCTGACAGGTCATTAGCTCTCAGAGGCATGCACTTCTTTTTTAAAATATATTTTTATTGATTTCAGAGAGAAAGGGAAAGATATAAACATCAATGATACGAGAGAATCATGGATCGGCTGCCTTCTGCATGCCCCCTATTGGGGATTGAGCCCACAACCCGGGCATGTGCCCTGACCAGAAATCGAACCCTGACCTCCTGGTTCATAGGTGGACGCTCAACCACTGAGCCATGCCGGCCAGACGGGCGAGGCATGCACTCCTTAAATAAACATCTATTCTTCCTTTTCTTTCTGTGTATCAAACACTGAGTCACAGAACAGGAAATAGAGAAGACCTGATTTTAAACAAATGTTTACTGAGAATTGATAGAACCAGTGACACAAAGAGGGACGGGATGTATTTGGAGTCCAAGCCACACAGAAATATGAATCCATATTCAGCAGCAAAGGTAGCTTTGTGATCGACTGACTCATTCATTTAACGGTTAAGCATCTACAGTGAACCAGGCTCTTGGAGCTGAAGATAAAAAATGAATGTCATAGTTCTAAGCTTTGAGGAGCACAGTCCTCCAAACATCCATCCTTCATCCATCCAGTAAATGTTCATTTATCTGCTCAGTCCCCGGCGGGCTCAGAGCACATGTCTTGAGAGGAAACATTCCATAAAAAGGATTATGCACTGTCACTCTGCTTTTGAATAGTATCACAGATGCCAGAAGTTGGATTCAGGGAGAAATAAAATGAGTGGGGGACCTGGCCTGAGGCACTTCAGAGGGTCTGCCAACAAGAATGGCCAGGCTCTCTCCCTGTGGGGTGACCGACCCTCCAGTGCAACTTGGGCCACCAGCCTCTCCCTCTTATTTCGTGTCTGACTAAGCACTTTCCCTGGAGGCGGTGTTTTTCTGTTTAAATCCCTATTTGCTTAGGGTGTTTGTCTCTTGTCAGTCTTCCCAGTGCCCTTATTTCCTCTCCTTTGCTTCCCAATCTGCCTTTCTCTCTCTTATTCAGAGAACTGTAATGTCAGGCCTGGCACGTCCCCTTCAAGGGCTCTAAGTCACTTTGAAGTAGAGGTTACTGAGGCCCAGAGAAGGGGAGGGGCTTGCCCAAGGTGAGCAAGTGTGTTGGTGATAGGAGTAGGCACTAGAGCAGTGATGGCGAACCTTTTGAGCTCGATGCGTCAGCATTTTGAAAAACCCTAACTTAACTCTGGTGCCGTGTCACATATAGAAATTCTTTGATATTTGCAACCATAGTAAAACAAAGACTCATATTTTTGATATTTATTTTATATATTTAAATGCCATTTAACAAAGAAAAATCAACCAAAAAAATGAGTTCGCGTGTCACCTCTGACACGCGTGTCATAGGTTCGCCATCACTGGCCTAGATCCAGGTCTCCTGATTCCTGACCCTTCTGGTAGAATGCACCAGTTCTGCCTTGATGGAGCCCAGGGGACAAGCTGCTCTTCTGAACCATGACTATCCTTCTGAACAGCCCACACCCTTCCTCAGAACCACTCTCTCCCAGCTAGGAGCTCACAGATTCCGTGGGAGCGGCCTCATTCCCCTGGGACCTCCCTGCGGGCCTGCAGCTGTGTTGTCTTATCCTGTGGTTAGGATGTTCTGCTTTTCATCCCGAGTAATCAGTATTCTTTCAGAAAATTACCCTTTTGCCTAAGTTCTTTGGAACTAGATATCTGCCCTTGAGAGCCCTGAGTTCTGATGATCTCTTCCAGTGGTTCTCAACCTTCTGGCCCTTTAAATACAGTTCCTCATGTTGTGACCCAACCATAAAATTATTTTCGTTGCTACTTCATAACTGTAATGTTGCTACTGTTATGAATCGTAATGTAAATATCTGATATGTAGGATGGTCTTAGGTGACCCCTGTGAAAGGGTCGTTCGACCGCCAAAGGGGTCGTGACCCACAGGTTGAGAACCACTGTAAGACTTAGGCGCTAATGAAGTGCCCTTCATGGACTGATTTTGACTCTTGCTTTTTCTTTAATCCTCCACAGGCCTGTCCCTCTCTCTAGTCATTAGCTGTCCTTCCATCTGTGCAGCCTGTGCCTGAGGAAACTGCACAATGGCCAGGCCAAAGCCCTGAACACAATTACTGATGCCTCCAGAACATGACACCATTTAGAAATTAATTCCCTGGCCAATTCTTGAAGCCAAGGCTAAGTAAGCAACAAATGCTTTGTAATAGTTTAAAAGCTTATCTCCCATCTGGAAACTCCCTTGTGGCAGATCTATAATTTAGGTTTCTCTTTAGTTTTAAACATTTTATTGCAAAAATAATATAACCCACAATTCAGAAGGCCTGGGAAACCATTATTATGTGTGTTTTTTTGCCATCCTAATGAGGGTCTTTCTGGTCTGTAAGTAACCTTAGTGCTGTAGGACAGGACCTCCAGCTTGCTGGTAATAACATAATTGTAACTTGATTAGGTAAGTTTCTTTTAACCCTGGAAAAGTTTATATAAACAGAGGAATGTGAAGCAAATTCAGCTCAGGCTTTTGCTATTTTGGAGTTAAGTTTAGGTGACCTGTATCTGTTTGGTATTTTAAGAACTTGCAATTTTAAGAGAATGTGATAAATTTGAGTATCCAATGGACTGATCTTGTGATTCTAGTTTTAAAAATGTAATTGAGTAGACCAAGTATGTCAAACTCAAAGGCTAACACGGGCCTAATAAACAAGGTTTAAGTTTATGTGGGCCATAAAAGAACAAAAGCTTCAATTTTCATAGGAATATAGGTTTATTTCTATAGAGACATGCTGAATACAAAGGGCTGAAATAAATGAGTAATCGTTAATGTAAAATAATAGAACATTTTAATAAAAATTAATATTTTTTCTTGAATATTAACCTATCAGACACTGAATGCACAAATTAATAAGCATAACACAAGTAAACCTATTTTTCTTGTTCTCCGAAAGCAAAATATTTCCTGTTGCGCACACCAAACAAGTCAGTCCAAGACTAATAATGTGGCAATTGGCTGCTAAAATATTTGCTACTAGTATTAGTAGAGAGAAATGGTGCACATGCACGTAAGGCGTGTAAGGGAAATGAATGCAACACGATTATAGTAATCAGTCATTAGCGAACTGTAGTTGTAGTTAGTTGTAGTTCGTTATTAATAATTATGTATAACAGGATGTAAAAATTAAGTTATGAAATGTTTATTAAAATTTTTTTTTACATACCATTATATTGGCTGGCCCGCAAAAATATTTGTTGTGGGCCACATGCAGCCTGCCACGAGTTTGACATGCTTGGTATAGATTTGTCAGTTAAGTTAAAAGGTGTAATACAATTCTATTAAGATTGTAAGCAGTATGAGAACATTTAAGGCAACTTAGGATTCACCATATGTAGTTGGTTAAGAACTTGGGAAGGCTTGTGAGCAAACAAGTATTCTAAATGATAAAGTGTTAACTTCATAAATGTGGTTTAAAATTGTTAAGGCATTTTAAATAACTAAATTTCTGAATGGGACCACTTGTCAAGGTTTCTTAACAGTGTTATATGTTACTGTTTTTATCAAATAAAGTTATAAGTAGACTAAAGCAGTTTAAGTTTAATCTAAAAGGTTAAGGAAAACCTAACATTTTAAATTTGAATAAAATATTAATTGAAAATAAAAATAATTCCAAGCAGTTTATATATATATATATATATTACAGTAAAAATATACAGCATGTTTGCCTAATGTTAGAAATTCAATGTTTATTTTTTAAGCAGTCATTTGCTCCTTACGTTCTGTCAACAACTAATATTCTCTACATTTTACAGATGGGGAAACAGAGGCAGAGGAAGGAATCAGTGGCCAGAGTGGAGGCACCAGGAGGCAAAACAAGAACCAGCGCTGCACTTGGTCACATGGCCTCACCTCTCCCCACTGGCCTGGCTTGCCCACTGTTTACTTGGCCTCTAAAGTGTCCTTATTACAGGTAAAGTGAAACCCCACAATGAAGAATCACCCTTTATCTCCAGAAGTGATTATGTGACTAATTTGAAATCTCTGTGACTCCTTGTTTTCCTCTTCAGCATCAATTCTAGGACCATAATGGGGGTGGAAAGCTACCACTTGGCCTGAGAAGTTTAGTCTGAATTCTGGGAAAGAGGCAGCCTGGCTCCTTAACCGTAAATAGGTCATTAACAAGAACAAGAACAAGTGGATGTTTCTCTCTCCACCCACCCCCTCTATCCCCTTTCCTCTTTCTCTCTAAAATCAACTTTTAAAAAAAGACTAAATACATTGGGATTGAATGGCCCTCAGTCCCAGCTGAGCCAACCCTCTGAGGACTGTGACGTCCCACCCGGAGGACAAGGACAGGAGGAGAGAACACAGCTCCCTGGAGAAGGGCAGTGCGGCACAGTGAGAACAGTGGCATTGGTCAGGAGGCCTGCATTTAGGTCTCTGATCTGCCTTTGGCCGAGCAGCCAGGGCAAACCACTTCCTCTAGCTGAGGCCAGCTCCATCATCAGTGAAATGGGGTGAATGCCTCTGCTTGAGTCAAAAATTTGTCAGAGTGTTAGGAAAAAAAGAGAAAGCTCTTTGTAACATTTAAAAAAAAAAAGGCCTGATTATATATTGATGGGAATGGGCTTCAGAAGAGCAGGCCAGTTACATTTTGAGTCCTTTAGAGCTCTGATATTTCCAATGGCTCTGTTTGCAATCCAGCCCCATCATTGGGCTCGGGGGGTGTCAGAGGCCTGGGTTAGACCCTGTGAACAGCTTGTAAAGGCCTCCCACTGACTTTGTAACCTCATCTCAGCTCCTCTTTCCTTCTGAAGAAAGGAATAACTGTCCCCGACTAGTAGGGAGCTGGTCTGGCTCAGGGCACATGTTCCCAAGTGCCCCAGCTATAACTGCTTGGTGTGTGCAAAGTTGCAAGGACAGTTGAACATGGACTTTGCATCAAGGACATTAATCAAGGATTTGAAAATAATTGCCTCCTATAGCCCTGCCTGAGTAGTTCAGTTAGTTAGAGCATCGTCCTAATAGACCAAGGTTGTGGGTTCAATCTCCAGTCAGGGCACATACAAGAATCAACCAATGAATGCATGTGGAACAAATAGGTCTCTCTCTCTCTCTCTTCTCTCTCTCTCCCTCCCTCTCTCTCTTCTCTCCCTCTCTCCCTCCCTCTCCCTAAAAATCAATGAATAAAAATTAAATGTAAAAAAGGAATTGCCTCCTGGAAACTAAATCCTGATTTCTGAAAATTCAGCAGAAAGGGAGAATAATTACATTCCAATACAGTCAGGGCTGCACACAGAAGTAGAGTTTAAATAGGAGGATTGCCCTAGCCGGTTTGGCTCAGTGGATTGAGCATCAGCCCATGGACTAAGGAGTCAAGGGTTTGATTCCAGTCAAGGGCACGGTACCTCAGTTGCAGGCTCGATCCCCAGCCCCAGTAGGGGCATGTGTGGGAGGCAACCAATCAATGTGTCTCTCTCACATTGATGTTTCTTTCTCTTACCCTCCCTTCCACCCTCTCTGAAAATCAATGGAAAAATATCCTTAGATGAGGATTAACAAAAAAATAAAAATAATAAATAAATAAGAGGATTATTAGGAGGGAAAGGAAACCCTCTCTGAGAATCAACCTTTAGCTGAGTCAGGTCAGACTGGCTTGGGGGGCATTGGGCAGCCCATGTCCTCATTGCAGTCCATTTCCCACCCCCCCACTCATAGCTGCTTGCCAATTCATATCCATGCATTTGGTTTAAGAAATTACTCTCTGTGGTAGGCAGGATTCTCATATGGCCCCCAAGATTCCCAGGCCTGTTGCACATACAGCTTTTCCAGTTACTAGTATTTAGTCAAACATTAATCTAAGTACTGCTGGATTTGCAGATGTAATTAAGATTCCTAATTAGTGACCTGGGTCCTTTAAGGCAGAGAGTTCTCTCTGGTTGGTTTGGAAAGAAATCAGAGTTCAAAGCATGAGAAGGACTCAGCCTGGCTGATTTAAAGATGGAGGAGCCATATGGCAAGGGATGCAGGCAGCCTCTGGATGCTGATAGTAGCCCCTGCTGACAGCCAGCCAGCAAGGAAATGGATCCTTATTCCTACAACCACAGGAACTGAATTCTGCCAATGAGAATGAGCTCAGAAGCAGGTTTTTCTCTAGAGTCTCCTGATGGTAACTCAGCCCAGCCAACACCTTGATTTCAGCCCCATGAAACCCTGAGCAGAGAATTCAGTCTAGCTGTGTGACTTCTGACCTACAGAATTGCAAACTAATAAACGGGTGGTATTTTAAGCCACTACATTTATGTGAATGCTCCTCATTATGTGGCCTGGAAATTAGGCAGTTTCCATCAGTAACAGTAATTAGTAGCTGATTACACAGCCAAATCAATTTGGGAGTTTTCTCATTTGGTCAGAAAACTACAATTATAATTTTTTTAAAAATATATTTTTATTGATTTTTTTTTTACAGAGAGGAAGGTAGAGATATAGAGAGTTAGAAACATCAATGAGAGAGAAACATCGATCAGCTGCCTCCTGCACGCCCCCTACTGGGGATGTGCCCGCAACCAAGGTACATGCCCTTGACTGGAATCGAACCTGGGACCCTCCAGTCCGTAGGCCGACGCTCTATCCACCGAGCCACACTAACTAGGGCTAATTTTTTTAAACTTTTCATTTTGAATTAATTACATACTTACAAAAATGTTGTAAAGAGTACAAAGAATTTTCATATACCCTTCACCCCAGCTCCTCAAATGTTATATAACCACAGTGCAGTAATCAAAATTTGGAAATTAATATTGGTACAATACTATACAAATTTCACCAGCTGCCCTATAAATCTCCCTTTTGTGGTTCAGGGTGCAACCCAGAATCACATATTCCACTTAGTCATTATGCCTCTTTAGTCTTTTTTAGTCTGGAACACTCTCTCAGTCTTTCTTTGTCTTTCATGACTTTGACATTTTTGAAGAAGTACTTGCTAAGCTATTTTGTAGAATGTCCCTTATTTTAGGTGTCTCATGTTTTCACATGACTAAAGTCAGGTTATACATTTTTTGGCAAGAATATTACAGATATAGTGTGTCTGTCTCAGTGCCTTATATGAAGAGGCACATGATGCTGACTTGGTCCATTCCTGGTCCATTAACTTTGATCACTTGGTTAAGGTGGCTGCCAGGATTCTTTACTGTAAAGTTACCATTTTCCCCTTTGTGATTAATAATTACCTTGAGAGAGATTCTATGAGGCTGTTAATATCCTGTTTCTCATCATATTTTACTAAGTTTAGCATACACTGATGATTCTCCTATAAAATAATTATTACTGTGGCATTTGCCAAATGGTGACTTTTCTTTTACATTTATTAGGTAGAATTCTAATAATTCTATAAATTCTAGAATTTATAGAGAAGAGCTTTCCTTCCTCTACCAACAATTGTTTATGTCAGTATGGACATACTGGGCTTTTACTTTAGTCTATGGGTCACAATCCATTTCTTTCATGATTGTCCCAGAGGAGCGCTTTCAGGTTGGCCCGTGTCTTTTGGACATGCCTCCGTCATTGGTTGGGACCTCAGCAAAATGATTATTTTCGGGTGCCACAGATGCCCTGCGGTCATCTCCAACCCTGAAAGATCATCTGTTTCCTCTAATAAAAGAATGATATTTAGAAACCAAGATCTATGAGTTACTGTGTCCAACTATTCTAAGTGTTTGTAGTTTTCTTTGATACTGTGGATCCTTAACACACTCACATACACACTCACATTTTGGCAAAAGACACACACACACTCACATTTTGGTAAAAGACAGTCAAGGAGCTGGATTTCTCTTCTACATTTTCTTGGTCCAGCCCACGTGCTCCTATCCTGTGCCTTCCCAGGTGCTCCCATCACTCTTCCTCTTCTGGGACCCTTCCCATTCACCACCCAGGGACCCTCTCCCTGCTTCCAGCTCTAATAATATTAACACTACTAATATCAGGAGCTACCTTTTATTGAGCACTTGTGCTCCAGGCAAACAGGATTTCATCAGATCCTTAGAGCAATCCATGAAGAATGCATTGTTCCTATTTTTTTTTTTTAGCCAGAGGTGATACTGAAATTTTATTTAATATAAATATAGTGCACTTTCATCTACAGCACTCATATGTGGCTCCTTGGTTATGACATCAGAGCTACCCAGACTTTCAGGGTAACTGAGGAGAACAAAGATGTAGATTCCTTCTCTTTGTACATTTATTTCTCATATTCTCACTACACATGTTCAGGCAGGTAGAATTTGCCCCAGTATTGTCCCTTCTGGGTCAGGTCATAGGGGCTCAGTACTTCCCGTATCCCTAGCATGTTGGCAGTGGCTATGCACTCAAAGGTCCCAGGGTTTTGGTTGTTACCCTCTTGTTCCTCTTGATCTTTCCGCATCTTCTCTAGGGTTCCACGGCTCATAGCCTTTGCTGGGAAGGGCAACTTGTGGGCAACCTGGTGGAGGAAACCTTGTATCTCTTTGAATTCACAGCTGCCTATCTCTTTAATGAAGCTGGTGGCCAGTCTTCACAGGAGTCACATAGTGATCAATGGCGCCTTTGCCGCTCCCCATATGCTGTCCCATACCCTTACAGGGGATGGGCTTGAAAGGGGCTAGTACTCATCATAAGGCAAACATGTTCTTGGGGTCCATAGAGCGGTTGATTGTCAGGCGCATCATTTCAAAATGGCCCCAGTAGAGGTAACCATCACCCAGTGCCAAGATTGCAAAATTGCCTTCTGTGAACTCAGTATCTTCAGTTGAAGGTCCCTGTATGTCACCCAAGTTCTTAGGTTCTTTTCGCACTTTTGGCACAAGTGGTATTCTTTCAACAAATCTAAGCTTGGCCAGGTTGCATAGGCGCTGTGGTTGCCAAACTCCCTGTTTACTCCTGTGCCCCTCCCCCACTCCCTTGTCCCAGGTTCCGCTTGCCTTCATCCAGTCCTTCCTATATAGCAGCTCCAGCCTAATGCGTGGCTGTGCTCTTAGTGAAATAGCTGGCTCCTTCCAAAATGCGACCTGGAATGGTCGCTAAAGCTCTAACCAGGCATTCAGCTTTGCAGCCTGCACCCTCTGAGAAATACATTGCCACTAAGCCTGAAAAAAAAAAAAATCTAAGCTTGGGCCTTTCAGAAATGGAAACATCCTCAAAAGTTGGCACCGGGAGCAGTGTCTTTAGGCCAGCACTGGTGGGTGGGACTGCCCAAGAACCTGATAAAGGCACTCGTAGGAGAGGCGCACTGGCCCGGGCAAGCTGACGCCACATGGCCATGCGTGTCCAGCCGCGCCCGGCTCCCCACAGCGACCACGGAGGTTACCTTGACACAGAGTATGGTGCTCTAGGGCCTGCAGGGATTTGCTGTCCCTATTTTATAGTCAAAATATCGAGGCTCCAGAGGGTAAGTCACACAGCACAGTAAGCAGAGATCCTCAGCCAGTTCTCCCCAACCCTGCCCTTTGCCTGCATCCTACCCTAAGGTTGGCTGTAGGTCTGCCTTTGGGCAAACCCCTAGGAGCTGGGAAGGTTAAGGCAGCAGGAACTGGAAACCACTGGAACCATACCATGTGGAGGGACATAGAGTTGGGCAATGGCCAGGGCAGTGGAGACAGCAGGTGGACTCTCCACACCAGCGAGTCTAGCAGAGGTGGGGGTGGAACTGTTAAGTCCTTGATGGGCCATGCTACCCCCTCCTGCCCTCTTCCTCCTCTCTTCCTCCTTCACACACACTTTCCTACCCGTTCCTGACCCCCATGAAAAGGCTCTCAGCCCCCTTCTTTGGCCTGGAATCCCAGACAACACCTTACCTTCTGTAATTAGAAAGGAAAGGCTGGGAAATGTTAAAAATAGCCAATACCTGGCTAAGGAAAGGCTGTGGTGAGGACCAGTTTCTGAGGGTAAAAAATATCAGATATCTTCCCATTTGAGGGTTACCCTTCCTTTGGAGAGAGCATGAAAGCTTTGGCCGATGAACTGGAAAATAAATCTGGGAAGAGGGCCCTTTTCTGCCTGCAGCAAGAAAACCAGAGGCTGTGGCCCTGGGCACTTCCTGCCCCAAGAGCCACGGCAG